TAATAGATAATAGACATATGTATATATATATATATATATATATATATATCTCTCATCTCTCTATCTCTCTCTCTCTCTCTCTCTCTCTCTCTCTCTCTCTCTCTCTCTCTCGCTCTCTCTCTCTCTCTCTCTCTCTCTCTCTCTCCTCGTCCTCTCTCATCTCTCTCTCCGCTCTCTCTCGTCTCGTCCTCTCTCTCTCTCTCTCTCTGCATATGTGTGTATATATATTGGACAGATGACGAACAAAAATGAGGATTATCTCACTATTTCAAACTCGAAGTAGTTATAGATGCAGTCCCAGGTTGTGCGACACACAACCCGCACATGAGACGAGACGATCTTGCGACTTTTGCCATTTATTTCACCCCCTCAGCAACAGCATGCTTGCAGGAGTTTAAGCAGTGGATGAGCAGTCATGTATGGATTAGTCCGCTGTTGTTGCAGTTGAAAATGAAGAATATGATCACCTCTTGGATTTTATTGGCAGCAGACAACCTTTACTAATTTCAGTATATGATATAGGAATGTAGAGCGCCTGTAACATGAAATGTCATTTGATGCCTGACTGAGATATTACAAACCTTAGGTCACGCTCAGCAATGTTGGGCTTGCTGCTCAGCAATTAAAATAACAAACTTTGTACTGATTTTACAAAGACCTTGACACCTAATGCTGCATACTATTCGATTAAACGCCGTGAAATTCCCTTAATTCGTCTTGGGCGTGCTGCGTCATCTCATATTACCATTTCGACTCGAGCCTTATGGCCCACTGACACGACATGGTCAGAAGTGACCCGCTCACGATTCAGCGCATGATTTTTACGAAGAATGTGATTCATCTCACCATTCAGCGCATGGCATTTACGAAGAATGTGATTCAGCTCACGATTCAGCGCATGACATTTACGAAGAATGTGATTCAGCTCACGATTCAAAGCGGCATTTTCCATAACGACTCGACCCAGCTCGCGGCTCAACCCAAGCGATTGGCTTGTGAGCCAAGGTATGATTCAGCTTAAGACGAACACAAGTCAAGGGCTGTGTAAAGGGCTGCACCGTTAAACCCTCGCTGGGCGTAGCAAACTGTCAATGTAAGTGCTGTGGACATGTAGCGTAGTGTTGAAATTTGTTGTCATTATCTTCGTGTTTAAAAGTAGGCACATATATCATGAGGAAATATAGACGTTTTTAAACGTCACTCCCCACTGAAGGCTTGTATTGTTGACCTATTGCATTCAATGGCTTTGGCGGACGGTGTAATTGTGCGCTTTTTTGTTGCCGCCTAGAAAACTGGCCAAACCATTCAATCACATATGTTTCATGTGCCAAAGAATGCACTCAAAAGGTGCCTCGTAATTCATAAAGGAGTCACGATTTAAAAAAGAAGAAAATGGTGGAATTAACGAACAAACATGTGTCAGTTCCAACAGAAATAACCTGTGTTCACGCATACGCCTACATACTTTGATCTCATCTCACTGCTGAAATGTTTACGTGATCTCTCCACGTTATGAAAAATCGTAGTCTAACAAATCGAACGCCGCAGTTCGGCGATATCTCCGAATCTTGTCTGAATATTGCTGCTTTTGCCGGGGAAAATACTCAGAGTTGTTTACTTCTAAAGACGAACATCTCGGTGCATTTTGCTGCACCGTTCACGAGACTAACATGAATAATGTTTTGAAGGCACCGGCAATGTCGGGTCGGTATCCTTCACGGTGCGACACCGGCCCCATACTGCACATTCATCGACCCAGGTTGTATTATCTTCATTTAACTACATCGAAACAGGACCAGGAGTGCATGTCGGCTGCACAATGAATCCGGATTTCCGACAAATTCGCACCGATTCATGGTGCGCTGGGCGGGGACCCCGCCATTGTGGCTCTTGCGATGGTAAGGTGTGGTGCCTGTAGCTACGTTGAAGATAAACAAGGCCTGTTCTTTCCTTGGAGAAATGCTATCAGCTGACGAAATGGGCGGTTGTATAGCCCTTGGCGTATGGCGCCCCATGCAGCTGGAACGCACACTGTCTTACTCGGCTAGCGTTCCGTGAAATTGCGGGCTTTCCTATGTTTAAATATGGGCAGACTTATTAAACTGTGGGCTTTCTGTTGTATTCTTTCGGTCTTCATTATGTCGGTTTACGCTGTACGGAAATGGCTATCATGTGAGGAATCTTAGTCTTCATCTATTGTGACTGCTGTCCACTTGTCCATTTCCATCTGTTGACATTGTTGAGCTACCGAATGCAAGCTCTCCCGACATTTGCATCGCAAGGCGGGCGCGATAGACTCGTCAGCCTCCCCCCCCCCCCCCCGCCCCCTCCGCCCTCCCCTTCCCTCTAGCGCGCGGCATCTCATGCGCAATGTTCGGCTTGTAACAGAGAGGTGACGAGGTCGTGTGCTCGGCACGCCACCGTTCGTGTCGCGGTTCCCTCCCGGTTTAACCGGCGTGGGAGACGCAGTGCTGGGATGGTCGCACGGCGGTCATTCGCGTCCTGAAGTAATGGAAAGAGGAGGTCTAGACCAGCTTTCGGTACCTTTCTCCACTTCCAGCGTTCAAACACTCACGATGGAAAGAGATTAACCGATTTCGTTTTTATTGTTTTGTTCACAAATCATATTTTACACGTAAAAAACTATACAGGTTCTCAACAGTCGAAGAACGGCAGACAAGCTTCAATATCGCAGGAAATGGTGACGCGGAACGGTCACGCTTTTTTAGGTGATTTTCTTGTTTATCCTGAGATTCCACTTTCACCTTTGTACATCTTCATCAGTGACAACGGCCATGTCCCGGGCAAAATACCTCTTTTTGCCACAAAACTATACTACCACATGCTCGCAGGTATTGGTACCGATAAGGACAGCACGCACGCACGCACAACACTCGCAAGCACAGCGGGTGTGCTGCCTACACACGCACAACTGCTTACGCATGACTACATGGCGTCCTCCACGGGCCTGCCGCGGATGGCGGCGCGGTACGGCATCGACGTCAGCAACATCGAAGTCGATTCTATCTCACGTCAGCCCGCGCTGCGCCGGTTTCGGCGTCACGTGACACAGCGCGTGGCTACCGACGGCACGTGTCATGGCTGCGCGGTCCCGTGCGTCCCAGGTGTCCGACTAACGGCCTGCTGCCCAGCCAGGGGGGAATGGGCAGGATGGAGGGAGTGTGGGCAACGCCAGAAAGGGATGAACATCGTCTAAGGGGGGCCGTCGCGGGAGGGTGACACCAGTCCAGGGGAGGTCACCGAATGAGGCGCGACCCCAGATAGGCAGCTGTCAAAGAGGGGGAGCCGGAGGAAGAGCTCTCTGCGGCGCGCCCTCTCCAAGACCATGTTTCTTACGTGGTCGCACTACAGAAGCCACTGAACCAGACCCTGACGCTAGGGACGTCACACAGAAAACTGACGGCATCGTCAGGTGGCCACAGATCCGCCCCGTTGACGTCATCACGGTGGCAGATCACAGCGGGTGGGCCATGTCGGTGGCGCAGTATTCCCCATTGCCCGGACTTGACCCCCGCCCCAAGGCTAATTCACCGCCCCAGCAGTCACTGACCCACAGCGGGGACCTCGCCTCCGCCTCCGTCCCCCGCCTCCGCCTCCGCCCCCGCTTCCGTCCCCGCCCCCGCTACTCTCGGCGCACCGACCGTCAGTTGAAGGAGTCGAAGCGGCGCGGAGGAGGGGGCGGGGGAGGGGGCGTTCAAGTCAGCTGCGAACACGCGTCGCTCGTGCCCGTTTCGAACGCTTCCCAGACGGCACGGGAAGGGTGGAGCCTTAGCGCTTTAAGCGCGTGGTCTGTATCGGTGCAGTGGTCCGGTTTTGGGGGTCAGAGGTGACAAATCGAACGCCACATCGGCACCGGCGGCCGGACAGCCCAGTTCGGACAGTGCACTTCACTTCCGACTGGCTCACTTCAGACCGGACACTTCCGTCGCGGTCTCGGCGGAGGCGCGCTACGAACTCCAGGAATGCCTTAGACACACGCGGGCGCCGAAATTCACGACACAGCAGGTGCGGGCGGCCCGCGGGCCGGCACGAGCCGGCACCGTGACGGCCTCCGGCGCGGCGGCACGCACGCGACGGCACGTGGCGGCACGTGCACGTGCACCGCTCGCGCGTCCAGCCACGCGTGAAAGACCGGCCGCTGTAAGGCGTCCCCATGACAGCACACATGCCCGCCACCAAGCTGCACCTCTAAACAGGACACCGGCAGGCCTGCGCGGCGGCGGACGAAGCGACGGCCCGGACTGGCTCGTGGGCCCGCCGCTCGACACAGCGATCACCGCTATCATGCGCGTAAGAGCCTGCAATGACGATTATGTTCTGGTTCACTGCAGTTCGCTACCATCAGCCGATAGCAAAACGAATCTAAAACAGAGAATTCTACTGAGAGGGTACATGCTCTGGTTGTTTATGCTGTTTGTGGTTGTTATGACGAAGTACGGCGAGTTGAAGAAAATGCCGTTAACGCGAGCATCTGTTGAGACAAATAACGGCTTCATGCCATGTTCGTGTCCAGCGCTGATCGCGCTGTGCGCAGCACTAATGACCATGTATAAACGAAGGAGCTGTCTGAGATGTCACGCTAATTTTTAAGAGACAGGAGACTGAATGCCTTGTAAGCCCTCCGAGCTGGAGTTCAGCCCGGTTTTCATGCTTGCAGGACAGAGCTGCCCACGGCGGGTCGTGCTGCCGTCTTTGTTCGCGAGTCCCAGTTCAGGAACTCCGGAACTCCGCAGTTTCGGAGTCCCAAAGCAGCGGTCCCGGTCCCGGACGTAACCGGCAATGCCACCAAACAAGACCGCTCCGTCGAGAACGACGATACTCAACGCTGCGTCGGCGACGCAGTCTACACGACAAACACACCCGGGTCTGAGCCCCCGGCGCGGGCCACGGCGGCGGAGCGCCTCTCTCCACCGGCCGCTTCCAAACTGTGGCAAGCGGCGAGCGTGCGACGGCCGGCGGCGGGGCCTCCAGCGGACGGTCCAGCGGCGGTCCAGAGGTGGTCCGGAGGTGGTCCGGAGATGGTCCAGCAGCGGTCCAGAGACGGACCAGCGACGGTCCAGCGGCTGTCCAACCGGTGGTCCAGATGGCCGTGCAGCCGCTGGTCTAGTGCCGGTCTGCTCGGTGGTCCAGCTGGTCCCCCGGACGCTCCGTGTGGTACAGCCTGTGACTCGGACGTCTCCACGTGGTATTTGAGCCGCTGCCCCTGGACGGAGCGAGAGGAGACGGGTGGCGTGTTCATGCTCTGCAACAGAGAGAGCGCAAGGTCAGGACGGAAACGTCCCGCACCCGGTCCACACACGGGCTTGCAACTGTCGCCAACTGGGCACGTATGGGTGCGGACTGGTCCACATTCAGCGCAGACACCCACGTGATGAAGCAATAATGAACGGCACCCACCGACAAGGAAAAGGTAAACAGCACGGTTCATGCGGCCAGGTCACGGCTGGCGATACCGCTGGCTTAGAGCAGAGTGTTGCGTGAACTGCCCAAGCGCTGGTGGTGCTCAGATGTGACAACGCAGCTGTTGCTTAAATCGGCCCCCACCAAGACCTCGGTCCTGCAGCAGTTCGAAAAAAACGTTATCAGACTGCAAACGGTATGTTGCAGATCTAGCGGGAATGCAGACCGCAACGGGCGCATTGCAAGTGCACGGCGTTTCGGCAGAACTGGTCGAGTTGCAGTCGGCAGAAATTGGAGGCAAAACGGCCAGATAACAGGCGTCGGGCTTCTGATGCCGATTGTAGCTGGCAGCACCCTCTAGCCTGCCAGGCAGACGACGGCGTACTGAAGGGAGCGTCCACACCCCTACCATCACAAGACAGCGTGCTCTCCGCTTCCTCCCCCCCCCCCCCCCCGAACAGCACCGGCGGCACTTTCACCGCTGGCCGCGCGGCCCGCTTCCAAAGGCGCCGCGGCGCGACCCCCGGTCTGCAGCTGCTCCGTAAGGCGCGTGCCACGCCCGTAGGCGCTGCCACCCGCACCGGTCACGGAGCCGCCCCCCCCCCCCCCTCCTCCCGGGGCGGTCGGAGGGGGGCCGGCTGGCAATGGGTCCCACGCCACGGCCGCTGGAGAAAGTTGCAAGGCGCGGCTCGGCCAAGGTCGCCTGGGTCGCCCAAGATACAGGTCTCGGCGTCGCGGGCCGCCTCGGGCGGCGCGGCGGGGTGGACCGCGACAGGGCCGGCGGCGGGCGGCAGGCGGGGAGCGGCAGACTGAGGGGCGGCAAGCTGAGGCGGGGGGGGGGGGGCGGACGCTGGGGTGAGGAGGCGGGGTGGACCGCGACAGGGCCGGCGGCGGACGGCAGGCCAGAAGCGGCAGACTGAGGGGAGGCAGGCTGAGGCGGGGGGGGGGGGGGGGGGCGGACGCTGGGGTGCGTGGTCGGGGTGGACTATGGCATGGGCGGCGATGGACGGCATGCCGAAGGGGCGACAGACTGAGGCGGAGGTGGGACGCTGGGGTGCGGAGGCGGGGTGGACCGCAACAGGGGCGATCCGAAACTCGCCAAATGGCTTCTGTAGGGAGGTCACCGGCCACGCGGCCAGTACATCCAAGCATGGCCAGCGGGCGTTAGATAAATCAGGTGATCGCGCTGAGCGAACGCGATAGGCTAAACTACACTCAAAAACGGACATTTGCTGGAAAGGGTCGCACGCCGCTTGCCGTTGGAAACCCCAATATCGACCGCCAGTGCCTGCAGCGTTCGAGGTCCAGCGAGACCAATGTGCCCCGAGGCGATTGCGTCAGCCGGGAATGGAGCCGGGGCTTCCCGTGAAAGTCGAGCACTCTCACATCTCAGCGAGTTCGTCCCTCCAAAACTGCACATGAAAGCTCTTTTGATCCGGCGTGCTTAAAAGACGGGATGATGATGCTGGCGGCGAAATTGCCAGATGGACAGACATCTGGGGCTGCAGCTAGGGATGGTATAAGACATTTACGAGGGAGCCCCAGGTTCGATTCCCGATCGGCGCTTTTGGCTGTTGGCGCAAACAGCCACTGACTTCGCCAGCGCTTCCCTCCCGCTTCCAGCGCTGTGCGACGGCGTGTGTCGCACAATCTTTAAAAATAAAAACTCTGAGACACCCGCTGAAGGGAGCCATCCGTCCTCACATCGCAGCACGCCTTCCGCCGCGCGTCAACACGCCGGTGATCACTGGACGGCGAACGGACACATCACCAGCGCACTGCACCCGCCGGCAGCCACGCAGAGCCCGCCCGGCAACAACCCACGCACCGCGCAAACAACCCCACCCACATGCTACAGCCCGCCTCTGACATCGTCACCGCCGGGCCAGTCCGTCGCCCCCAGAGAGGCCCTATCCCCGGAGGTCACGCCGCATTTAGCCGGCGGCCGGCCGGCCCGCTCTGTCGCCGCGCCCCCGCGCGCTCGGTGACCGTCTCGAAATAGCCGCCGGCCGCCAGCCGAGCCGCCGCCGGCGCGTCCCTCCGACGCCAGTGACGCGCCGCCGCCGCCGACGCACCACGTGGTCGGCCGGCGCCCGCCGCCCGGCGCGGCGCTGGAGACGGCTCGTATGTCCACGGTGGGGGGGGGGGGGGGGGCATGGTGATAGGAGCATGGGTCACCCGAGTGGCCGGCAAGTTCAAAGGAGATGAACCTGACTACCATACTGCTGAAACAGTTACAGGCCCCATATACATGCTTAGTATGTGCTTAGGTACTTAGGTACTTAGGTACAGGTATTCATGCTGAACAATATAACAAATGTAGAAAGCTGAGGCGCATCTTTGCGCATCGTATCTCTGAGGCGCGCTCAGCATCCCTCAGTGCCAGGCTTTTTCCTCCCGCTGTGCTAACTTCTCCACAGCGTTAGTTATAGGTTATAGCGTTGCGGCCGAAAACTCAGTATAATGGTGCAAAATCTAATTTGCATCAAAATTCTTCAAAATTTCCTTAAATTAAGCCTTGCTTCAAAATTCTTCAAAATTCTTAATTCAAAAACCAAAATTTTGGAAATTAGACTCAACGCTCTCTGCTCGTTCTTGGAGAAACATCTCCAGAAAACCCGGGCGCAGCCAATGGGACAGGGGGTACTTCCGCGGCCTGAATTTTTCGGTTTTTTACTGTAGACGGCTCCAGACAGCAAGTTAAAATTTGATGTGATGCGTACTCACCGAGAACGCCCCCCCCCCCCCCATCCTACCCTGCAGGAAATACTGGTAGTACCCCTGTAGTGAACGCCTCTGGTTGCATGTCATGTGACAAATGATATGCCGCATATGCCATTGATTGGTACATCATTTCTATTCCATTCTCCCCAGCAGCTTTAGGTTCATGCATGGCAGGGATTAACATCAAAGGGTCAAGACACTTCCCGGGACTTCCTGAGCCGGCCGGCCTTCCAGCCGGGGGGGGGGGGGGGCGACCATTGACTGCAGGATGTACGACCTTCATACACGAATTCGACCCCGAACTAGGCCTAGGCCCACGGCACTCAAGGCTGGAGAAAGGCGTCGCTGAAAGGCCCAGAGGGAGCGGTTGGTCGCGGTATCACCCGCCGCGCTGTTTGCTTATGCAGACGGTGGCGAAGCAGCCTCCAGACGGAATAGGGGTGCGGTGTGAGGCGGCGAAGCAGTCTCCAGACGGAGTAGGGGGTGCGGTCTGGGGCAAGTGTTCGCCGCGGCAGGCTACGAGGCCGCTGCTGTATCCCCTCACGTTGGAGGAAGGTCAGGTGTCCTCTGTCCCAAGTTGCCAAATGATCCCGTGCCCCGCAAACATGTGCACGGATCCCAACAGCGGATCCAGGATCCCATAGGATTCCATGTTTACGGGATCCTTTATGCTGGGATCGTTTGGGGGCTGTGTGCACATGCCTGCCCAGCAGAACGACAGACGAAGGAGGCGCTCTCTGCGTGTCGTGTACGTTAGGCGAGGTTCAGGTAGACTCCCGGAGGGGGACACCTCCCGCCAGCTATGCCAAGGAAGGCCAAACCAGCAAACCCAGGCCGTGCTTAATGAACTGGAGCGTTTTTGTGCGCTTTTCAGCAGTTAACCGAAGGTCACGCGTGTGCTGAGCGCCGCAAACTCAGCCTGCTCGGAGAGCGTCCCTGTCCCTGCGTTCTTTTTTCGCTGCTTGGTGATTATATATCACCTGACACGCGAGCGTTTAAGGCTAGTGCTATTCCAGACACTTGTTTCTATCTGGTTTTTTTTCTTCATGTCGGAAGAGACCGCTGGGGCGCGGGGCAAGCCCACCCGCGGCTTCTCAAGAACGCCTTGTCTCCACTCGCGACGGCACGGCAGGGCGCATGGACAACCCGAGGTGGACGGACGCCGCCGCGGACAGCTGATCGGAAACGACACGGCAGCGCGGCCCCGGCCGGCGGGGCGGCGGTCGGGCCGCGCTGAAGTCAGCCAAGACTGCACCAGCAGAACTGCCCCCATTCCGGGCCGAGAACGGCACACTGGGCCACGGCCTTCCCCGGCACCCATTCACAGGCGCCGAGCGATCACTAACCACCGGCGTTCCGCCGCAGGACGTCGCTGGTGACCTTGTGACGTCACAAACCAGCCGGCTCAAGGTCGCGGCCTGGCTGGGAGCGTGGAGAAGCGGTTCCTGCGAGTGCCTGCGGTGCTCGGAGCTATGCATGGTTCGAGGGCCAGTGCGGGACGCGTGGTATTGGTGTTCGGAGCCTGACAGCAAAACGCGGAAATAAAGAATACAAGCATTGATGTGCGACCGAAGATAAGAGTACAAAATACATGATATTAAGGTTTTAGCTGAGTATAATGATGTTTGCGTAAGGCTATCTTTATTCAAGTACTCGAGCTTTAAGCGACCATAATAACCGGTTATGAATACCGCTCTTGCAGATGCAGGCCGCAGTAAAAAAGTGAAAGGGATCGGCGTTTTGGTCACCCAAAGGGGAGCATCTGATAAAAAACACCCTTACTCAAAGTGTAAATATTTCTGTGAGATACACAGGCGCATCTCAAAAAAACATTGACAAAAGCCCCCACGACATTTATACGAAATGTTTCTTGCTCGAATTCAAAATGCTTTCCAATCAAGCGCAATCCTGGACAACTAGCTTACCACCCTCCACATCCCCAGCCTCACGCAGGATGCTCCCGCTGAGCCGGACTAAGTGCAGCTGCACTCGAGCCTTCATGCCGGGCAGGGTGGACTCGTCCATGTCGGCCGAAGTCCACTCGGCCATATTGGCGGGTCCTTACCGATCGGTCAATGCCAGCCGCTAGCTCCACCGCTTACCAGAGAGGTATATTGC